TTCTTGTATAAAAATTTAAAATTTTTAATGTTTTCTTCATTTATATAGGTGGTATCAATAACTAACAGGTGCGCCAATGTTGATACGGAACTTACATTGGCATTAGGTGTTTCAAAACCCATTTTGGACTATGTCATTTTTTGTCATCAAGAAGACCTTAGTTGGCCTTTTCAAGATGGTAAAAAATTAAAAGAAAAATTTGATGAAATTTTTGATAGTGCTAAGTTTAACAAAGCACTTGAAAGCATTATGAAGTATAGTAAAGAGTTACAACAAAGAGTAAATATATTGAAAGAGCAGAAGCAAAACTGTCAACTTATTGTTACTGAAGTAGAAGACAAAGAAACAAAGCTTGATGATCACAAAAAACGATTGGAAAATTCTAAGGCCAAGATTCAGAAACTTGATAAAGAATTAGAACCTGTGAATTTGAAAATTAAAGAACTGGAAAAATTAGATACTGATTATAAGGACTTAATATGTGAAGAAAGTAATGTTTTTATAAATATTAATAATAATTTTGGTTTTAGTTATAATTAGAAATATACAAGGTGTTTCCTTTATCTCGCAAAATTGGAATATCTCGTGAAGGACTGAACCTATCAAAAACATATTTCAACAAAAGTTGTTTGGTATGAAGGGGGGCATCATATGATGAAAATTATTTTTTTGCAGGTTGAGTGGTGAGGGGTAATTTCAAAATCAAGTTCATATTTTTAAACGGAACTATACATTTTTTTGGGTGTTTGCTGAAACTAATGTAAAATGTTATAAATTCACGAGTTCCTAGGGAGTAAATCGCTGGTTGACACCTATTAGGCTGCATACAGTAAACAAAGATCGATCTTCATATGTCACCTTATGCTTCTCAAATTACCGACATAAATGATCCACATTTATTCCTACTTACCAATGTTTAATTAAAGAAAAGTTTTCACCATTCGTATTGACATTTGTAACATTTGGTAACTTGAAAAGCATAAGAGAAGATAAGAAGTTTGAATAATTCGCGTAATATCAAGTTGGAGATTCAAAGTCAGCAAAGATGTCTGTAAGACAGCGGTGTTTACGTGACAATGTTTATTAACATTACAGCACCGCAATCGTTTATTATGTCTTTGATTCAGTATTGAGTTATTGGTGTTTGTACTGTCAGATGCGTAACAGATATCGCTCGGGTACCGGTAGACCTTTAGTACAATAAAAGATATCGGCGAGTTTCGTACTCTAGCGCAAAGTACATTTTCAAGAAACGAAGCGAAATTATTCGTTAATTATTAGGTTTAGGGCTGATAAAGGTCAATACTTTTGTATTCACAATTCAACATTCTTCGATGTTTTGGTATAAAAAATATAGCATTCCATTTAAAATAACAAAGTTGACCTTGAAATCTCTGAAACTCCATCTATCTCGAACTATGCAACATTTATATAAAAAGTTTTCTCATACAACGCATACATAAAAGTTATTCGAGGTGTGCAAATTTGCGTGGACCACCCTGTATATGCGCATAGCACAAGTTAGCAGTGTTCTGAAAACGTTTCAATGTCGGCTACAAAAGTATGCAATAAAATATACAATAGTTCCCATTTAAAAATATAAACGTGACCTTTACGAGTCTTTTTGAGATCATTGTAAGATAATATAAATATCGGTATCATATGTCCCCCTTGACATCGTACAACATTTATTTGAAACATTTTTCCGTATCACCCATAGTTTTCGAGATATTCAATATATATATAATTTTTTTTCTTTAGAGAAGAAAAAAGCAGAGTATGATATGTCCAACCAACAACTGAACAGATTAAAAGAAGATATGCCATATGTATTTAAAGGAACAACAGAAGAATTATTAAGACAGATAGAATCATATAATGAAGGATTAATAGGAAAATGTAGTGACATAGAAGAGGTATGATATTTTTTATTCAGATAAAACAAATGTCAAATTTGACTTAAATTTTTCTCTTTAAATGTTTAGTGTGAAGAGAGATTAAAAGCTATTGGTGGAGAAGAGTCTACAATATCAAATATCTTAGCTAATGAAAGAGTAACCAATGGTTCTTTAAGGCAACAAATTAAAGATCAACAGAAAAAAGTTGCTTTTCGTAATAAAATATTAAATGAGACATTATCTGCTTGGAATCTTGATACTGCAGATTCAAATATTTCAGAAATAGGTTTAAATCTAATTATATATTAAGAAAAAGATTAAATTTAAATTCATGTACATTAATGTAAAATTTAAAAACTTTTCAGAAGTAATAGCCCTTTCTAAAAGGCTAGAAGAAAAGATGAGAGAATTAGAACATAAAGTAGAAGAGAATAGGATAAAAAGGGAGCAAGAAGAAAAAGAATTGCAAAAAACAGTTGATACTTCACGCAGTGAATATTCAAAAGTAGAATCAGAAAAGAATCTTAAAGAAAATGAAATAACTGAAGCAAGGGAAGAAATTAATAAAATAAAATTGGAGATTATGCAGGTTGTTTTGTTTTTTCATTAAAAATTTTAATTAAATGTTTTTTTAATTAAATTTTAGACAACAAAAGGTTGTTTAAATTTTTTAATTTACAGCTTGGAACAACAACAAATAAATTACATTCTATTGAATCAAAAATAGAGGAAGTAAAGATTACAATTCAACAGTTGAATGAAACAATGGATGCAGATGCTGTCAAGAAAGAAATTATTGACAATATTAAGTTACGAAATGAAATGGAAATGAATCTAAATATAGTTGATGAAGAAATAGCTTCATTATTGAAACAAAACTCATTACAATCTGAATTAGAACTAAATAAGTCTACATTACTTTCAAAAGAAGAAGAAATACAAAAATTGAAAAGTAAATATGAAGAAGCAATAATGAATTTGTTAGACATTAAAGAATTATCTCAAACCAAACTAAAAAGTAATTTAGACGTGATTCAGGAAGAATTGGTATTTAAAAATAGATATTACATTCATAATATCAAAGGACTTCATCAATTTCATTAATTTTATACATTGTAGGTAAATGAAATAGAGTCTATTAATAGAAAAATTCAGATAGAAGAACATCAGTTAACTACATTAGAAACAACAATATCACACAATGAACGTGAACTCCAGAAAAAAAGAAAAGAAATAGATTGTGAGATTTTTAATAATTAAAAGTTGGAATTTACACCTATGTTTAAATGTTTTATTGACAGTAAATTTTTCTTCCTTAGTGGATAAAGAAAAAATTTCATCCATATGTGATTATAAAAATTTTGACGAAGCTTTATTGTTACAATCAAAAATGGTAAAGGACCTCCAAGATAAAAGGGGAATGTACGCTCATAAAGGTGCGGCTTATAAAGAATATATGAAGGAATTAAAAGAAACGAATCCTTGTTGTCCTTTGTGTCATAGAAGTTTTGATGAACGCGAAACCGTTGTAAAATTATTAAAAGAAATGGAAAATGAAATGAAAAATCATCCAAACTGTTTAAAAGAATGTGAAAAAGAATTAAAGATACAACGAGAAAAGTATGATAAGATGTTGCAATTAAAACCAATAGTTGAAAAAATAATGCATTTTGAACAAATTGAATTGGAAAAATTAAAGTAAATTTTTTATTATTTATTATATATACAATATTTTTAGCTATAAAATTTGTAACAATCTAGTCTATTCTTTAGGAATCATTTACAAAAGTCTGAAAATAGATTGCGTAAATCTCGATCAATAGAAATGGAGTTAAAACAAAAGAAGTTGGATCCTGAAAATAAATTAACGATGTGCAAAGATATAATAGGCGTTATTATACTGTGGGATAGATACATCGACGAAATTATTGAACTTAAACAAATAGTTGATAATTTTCAAACTCGCATGATTGCTGCAGGTATGTTTGAAGACTTACCTTTTGAAATATAGTATAATATAATTCTTTTTTTATGTATGCAGGTATTAAAACAGGACGTAGTCTTGGAGAAGCTCAAACTCAAAGAGACAATCTAAAAATGTCTTTAAAAAATATTCGTGATGACCTTGAAAAGTTACAATCTAGATTAAACACACATAATGAAAAAATACATAATGCTCGGCAAGAACAGAATGCGTTACATGAGGAGCAGTTAAAAATACGAACAGGCATGCAAAAATTAAAAGAATTAAAGGATAGGCAGGAAGCTTTGTACTCAAAAGAAATTTCTCTTGGAAAATTGGTTAATACATTAAGACAAAAAGTGACTGCAGCAGAAAGTGAATTAAATTCAAAAATTGATAAATTGGAAAGAAAGAAGGTATACTTTATATATTAATACAAACTTGTGGTATTAAATATTTTAAATTACTGCTTTATAGAAATATTGACATTTATATTAAATTCGTGAAAAACATGTTGTATTTTTTATTTTAGAAAGATAATAGGGAAAAATTGGAAATGGATATAAAATTGTTAGCAGAAGGAACTAGACGCTTATCTGAATTGCAAAAAGTACAAGATGAAGTTGACGCCTTTGTGTACTCTAAAATTCCCGAGTTTTTAGAATGTTCTGAAATGAAAATAAAAAACTATGAAAAATCACTTAATGAACTGCTTCACCAAAAAAATGACATAGAAACAACAATTAATAAATTAAAAGAAGAAATTAGTCGTCAAGAAGTTCGAAAAAGGGAATTATCGGACAATCTTACATTGCGAAAAGTCCAAGAAACAACTAACAGTTTACAGCAACAATGTTTAAATTTAAAAGAAAGATTGAACGTTATAAATTATTCACAAGTAATTCAAGAAAGGCAAAATTTATTAAATCAAGAACAAACTTTACTTCGTCAGGTAAAGAATCTTATTAGTTTATTATGAAATAGAAATGAAAATTGAAATCATTTTATAGTGGTTATAATACACCAGTATAAAGACATAATTGTGCTCTAATACATTTTTAGAAAAACATAGTTAAAGGTAACCAAGAAGAATTAGAAAAAGCAGTGCAGCAGTATACGCATGAATTAAAAAGGGAACAGTACAGACAAGCTCGTAAAAGTTACAAAAACAAATGCATTGAATTAACGGTAGTATATCAAAAACAACTACTTTTATTTTTTATATTTACTGTTCAAAATTAATAACGTAAACCCTGAGTAATTTATCTTCGAATTAGGTTGTTGAAGAAGCCATATTAAATTTAAAAGCATATAGCAGAGTGTTAGATACTGCTATGATAGAATATCATGAAGAACGTATGGCGACTGTTAATAGAATTATGAAACAAATGTGGAGACTTGTATATACTGGAACAGATACGTCGTCTATAGAAATTCGTACAGATGCTACCCAAGGTATAGGCAGTGCAAGAAGAACATATAATTACAAATTAGTTCAAACAAAACATGGTCATGAAATGGATATGAAAGGTCGCTGTAGTGCTGGTCAAAAAGTAATCTCTATTCTATACCAGTGTTATTAACGAAAGGATGATTCTTATTATTTATGTATATTGTATTCTAGGTTTTAGCATCGATAATTATAAGACTGGCTTTAGCAGAAACATTCTGTAAGGACTGCGGAATTCTTGCATTGGATGAACCAACAACAAACTTAGATCAAGAAAATGCAGACAGCCTAGCAAATGCTTTGGCTAAGTATGTTTTAAAATAAGTACATTTTAAATAAGAAAGTATGTTTTAAAATAAATACATTCTTATTTAAAATTTTAATATACTTTACTTTTGTTAAAGGGTTGTTAAATTGCGATCACAACATCAGAAAAATTTTCAACTAATTGTAATTAGTCATGATGAAAAATTTGTATTTAAGTTAGCTGAATTAAGCAGTAATAAAGGATTTTATCAACTTTATCGTAAAAATACGTATGTTTATATAAAATACACATGCATTTAATTATACTATTATACTTGTTTAATTGTACATAATTTTTTTGTTAGCGGTTACACGGCAATTAGACATTGTCTAGTAGAAAATCAAGATCATTTTGCATCAGGTGATATAAAAGAAGAAGCATCATCTGATGAAGAGATTAATGAATATTCCAAGTCGCGAAATAAAGTACAATCAGAAATAGGTGCACAAGGAAAAACATATAATGACCAAACGCGTCAGAAAAAAAGGCAAGTTTCGGATACAGATAATGAGGATCATACTGAAAATAGAGCATCAAAAAAAAGATACGTTTTTCAATAAATCCCACTTTTTATTGTATGTAATTAATAAATAAAATTAAAGGTTACTTTTATAAATTAAATTTCTGTTATTATGTTATGATTTTACAGAAATATTTACTTCATCAACATTTAAAATTCATGTAACATATGTTGTATTGCATTATAATAATTAAATAAAAAATGAAAACTTTCAAATGTTGCCGCATTTTTGATCAAATATAAATATATCGAATATTGAATCGATTTTAACAATCGAGATTTGATCATACTCGATCGATAAAAGTGGCGAAGAACAGGTGACGACATCGTTGTCATACTCGTGATTTCATAACACGCCATTTTCTTTGTGTGAAGTGCTGACCGAGAAGAATTCCACTTACTGTTTTCTATCTAATTCAAGGTAACGCAATCTATAACCGATATTTTATTGCTTTGACAATCATTGTTCACATTTCCTAATGAACGTCATAAACGTTTCTTAGGTTACTCGTTTAGTCTTAATAGTAAATCTCAATTGTCGAGATCGCGTGTTGACAGGTTTTCAAGCATCGCAGTTAAACGGATTCTATTTTATGTTTATTTGATCACGTATATTAGCATTTTATTATATTTTCGTTTACACTGACACGATGTATTCTATTTTCATAACAATATCATTCAAATCTTCTAGACGTTAACCGCCAAAATGCGTATTTGGAACATCGCGCAATGATTTTTTTCAAGTAATGTACATACGTCATTACAAGGGGAGTACTTTTCCCATTCACGTTCAGTGATTCACTAAAAAAAGTCATCTATCCATGACATTCGGATTATTGTTCTACGTTCATATCAGTTTACAGTATAATTGTACGTTCAAAGCTGTTGCATATTAAAACTATATTTACTTAAGATCGAAAAATAAGTTCACAACAGATATTTAATTTATAATTCTAATTTTAAAAAGTATTATATTTTTTACTTGTTCAATACAAAGTTCAATCTATTGAATTTCGCATATATTCTTATTAAAGAGAATTAATTTCACTTTTAAATAGCTTATAACTCGTTCAGCACACTACTTTTATTATTTGTACTTCACCCTTATCTAAGTTGCACAAATAGTGTATATAGTACATATACATTTGGTTACAAAGGTTTTAACTTTGATTCATAACTGCATATTTTAATATTATTTTCATAGAATATCTTCTAAAGAAAACAGTGATATGATTTAGTATTTCTAAATAATATTCTAAATGATATTAATAAAACATGTTTTACATCTTTTAATTTGATTTATTTGTAAAATTCATAATATATAAATTTCTTTTACTTTTAGTTCACAATGGCTTCTCGTAAGAAACTATTGCTTAAGGTTGTTATCCTTGGGGATTCAGGAGTTGGTAAAACTTCTCTTATGAATCAGTATGTAAACAAAAAATTTAGCAATCAATATAAAGCTACTATAGGTGCAGATTTTCTTACCAAAGAAGTAATGGTAGATGGTAGGATAGTTACTATGCAGGTAAATATATATTAGATCGAATAATATCTGTATTATAGTACATATATTTTTCTTTTTTTACACTTTTGTTCGTCTATTTCTTCTTGTTTTGTTTTTTTTTCTTTATTTTTTTAAACAGATTTGGGATACCGCTGGCCAAGAAAGGTTCCAGTCTTTAGGCGTTGCTTTCTACAGAGGTGCTGATTGTTGTGTACTTGTATTTGATGTTTGTGCACCAAGTAGCTTCAAATCTTTAGATTCATGGAGAGATGAATTTTTGATCCAAGCTTCCCCTCGGGATCCAGATAATTTTCCATTTGTTGTACTTGGAAATAAACTTGATTTAGAATCTGAAATTAGAAATTCCAGACAGGTAAGAACAATATTTTAATTTATTTAGAGTTCTAATACCTATGATTTTGTTAATAAATACTTTCTAGGTTTCCACTAAAAGAGCACAACAGTGGTGTGTGTCTAAAAATAATATTCCATATTTTGAAACTAGTGCTAAAGAGGCCATTAATGTTGAACAAGCCTTCCAAACGATAGCAAAGAATGCTTTAGCTCAAGAAAGTGAGGTAAGTTGCTTTATAATGTTTATATGTTTACGTTGTAGTAAGTATTAAAATATAACAAATCATGTTATTGTTTTAGGTGGAATTGTATAATGAATTTCCAGACCAAATTAAATTGACCAATGACCAAAGAAATAATGGCAAGGGTGATTCTTGTGCCTGCTAGGTCTTGGAGTGATGAAAATTTTGAACAAGTACATAGATGCACAGGTCAGATCGTACATTCGCGTACCTGCGCATTTTAAGAAATATTACATCGAGCTTGATGTGTTTCGGAAGTCCTAAGCATGCACCTTGGTTTTCTTTATTTAAATTTCATTCAAAGTAATTTTAAAGCATATTTACAGTATTGGAATTTTTTAATTAGAATTATATGGTATAGCAAAAAATTAAGAATACATGTACATATAAGAAATTCATAAGTGAAGTGTTTTAAACAATAAAATTTAAAAAATTTGTACCAAGGAGCATCTATTTGACTTCCTTACATGGGACTATGTTGTATTTTATAGCGTGTGTTTATGCTATACTTGACTCTCCAAATGAATGTTTGACTAGTCGAGCAATAAGTTTAACACATTATTTCCAAATATTGTAATGCTCTCTTATTGGGTATGGCGAACAGTATGAGCTGCCCTTTTTAATTGCATCTTTACAAATCATTGTTAATGTCCTTCATTATGGAGTGATGCTACGATGTTTTTGAATCATATTGACATAACTTATGTTGGAAAGAAAATTCATGGGTCGGGAATACATCTGGTATAACAATTAGATCATCGCAAGTTTGCTCATGATTCATTAAGTACAATCGCATTTATTAAGGAGCTTTAGAAAATATTTGTGGGTAGACCTGTTTGATCATCTCTTAAATATAGCTTCTTGTTAAATTAAATGGAAAGTTTTAAACATTCGATACTCTTGATACATTGGCGATACACATAATACAAACAATTTTGTGAAATGAAACTTTTATTGAACTTTTGCGGCTATTCAACTACCTCTGATTTTCTTTAAAAATGCAAACCTTGCTGATGGTTTCATCTCGAGATACTACTATTTTCAGGAATAACACGTGCACTGTTTGCCTAAGTTTGAGTAACAGTGAATTTGTTTAACATTACAATATATCTGACGTGACATTTCACGATCGTCTCTATCTGGAAAGGCTAGTGTGTTTTCGAGGAAATAAATTCCCTTTTTAAAAATAACTCAATAGTTAAGTAATTTGTTATTTGGTATTCTCGATGCGCCCATAATATTTGCTTAGTAGTAATTTCACGTGTTCTTAAATTCCTCCTTGAAGTGAGAGTCCTGAGCCGCGGTGCAATGGTTTTTATACATTTTAATTCTGAAAAATTTTTTCAGACATAATTATTTTTGTATTAAACATATCATAAAATACAAAGGAGCTATTTCATAATTTATTTGGAAAATTTATACTTTTATTCTGTTACATTTAGTGTTACAGTATGCATATTTTCAAAATTGTTGAATCCATTTAATGGAATAACTGAAAATTAAAGGACAATTCTCTTATAATATGTTCGAACAGTTTTTTTGTTTTTGTTTTTTCTTTTCAGAAACAAATTATTGAAATAAAAAAATATTTTTTGTACCGTAATTATGATGTTCTATTGAATAAATACTTCTACGTGAAAAAAAAGGAATGAAAGGATTTATAAAAGTAGTATTGTTAATTGCTATAACGAAAATTATGCGACGCGGTGCTGATGATCACTTCGATGTTAAAAAATTATAATTTTAGATTTAAGCCACGATCCTGAAAAGTGTAGAGAAAAAGATTGCGTGAGCTGAATTGATATATACTTATAAGATTTCTTATGAGAAGGTTTAGCACGTGTTAACATATGCGTACACCTATGATTACACAGTCTTACACGCTGTAAACGTGCGTCGTCATACATGTACGCGTATACACGTAAATATATATGTATATAAATGATGATGATCATGACGATTACAACTATAATTATTAATATAATTTTATCGAAATATGTTAACGATAGATATTATAAATATTATCATTATTGCTGCTGCTGCTGCTGCTGCTGCTGCTATAAAACTACTATTGCTACTCTTAGTTTTAAGTGAACTAAAACAAAAAAGAAGGAGAAAAATACATTTATTGCAACAAACATCACGAGCTGGTCAAATTAATTCGTTGATATATCTGTGCCACGGATAATCATCGCGTGACCTGAAACAAAATATAAGACTATCATTATCCCTATTATGGTTCGATGTCTATATTGTTATTATTGAGATGAATGTCTGTTGATATAGGTAGTAAATCTAGCAACCCTGTATGAAGTGTAGCGAATAAGATTAAAATATAATTGAGTATAGCATTAATTTGAAAAATGGCTCTTTCTAAGTAAAATAATAGCCTGTAATGCAGTGTAGTTTTATTCGAAAGTTTCAACATATTGTTATGTTCCAACTGATGTAAATTGAATAATTACCTCTTGTACGAATGTAAGAAAATATTCCTTTTTACACAACGTAATTTTATCTTTCCTTTTAACCAACTGTTTATTTAAATGAAGTTCAGAGAAATATACATATGATACACGTGCGTGTGTGTTTGTGTGTGTTCTCTGTGCGCGCGCGCGTGTGTGTGTGGGTGTGTATGTGTGTATATATATATATAGCTCTCCCACATATTTACATAGGCTTTTCTCGGTTTTTTCTCTTAATGTCATATATGATATCACATGGCCTTCGTTAAGTTTTAAACAAATTTTTACGATTAATGTCAAATATACACATACGTACACATACATATATACTCACACCTTTATAGAGAATAAATTAAGTTCATTTACAGATAAAGTAAAATACGAAGTAGAGATCTTTTTTACTGCAATTGAAAAATTGTTTTATTCTTGTTCAAGAGATTTGATTCTCGATGAAAATAAGCAACGAGTAGTTCTTCGGATTATTTCGTTACTAAAGAGAAAATATAACTATAATATGCTACGACTCTTGCTTCTTTGAAACGTTGACTAGACACACCTGAGGTTTTTACATTTCTTGTATACGCCAAATTTTAACGAGCATGGTTAGTGATTTTCCTTCGGGGCCCTTGACCAATCATATTGTCTGTCGTCACCGCCCTTAGCACGTTGCTTCTTATAAAGAGTGCAGTGATACCTGCCCTCGTAGCTGGCGGGTGGAAGTTGTGCAACAGATATACGTATAAATACAGAGAATGTTACACGTCGAAAACTTCACATGACGTTGCGTAAGCTATGTACAAATTTACAAGTGATAACGAGTATATACAACAGAATGGTCGATTGTTTACATTTATGTACAATATGTGGGATACGTTGTCCCTCGAGCAGTGGAGGTTCCGATGGTTGCAGGTTCTTCTCTTCTATTGGTAATACTCAAATCTTTGTCACTGGCTGTTTAACAACACCGTTGGATGTCTCGATGGACACAACACCTATCATGCCGTCCTTCTGCGAATGCGACCCAAGCCTCAGCTTATAGGAGGGCAGATTCTCGTTCTGTATGACGGCTTTTATCGGCTCCACTGTTGTAGAATGTTTAAGTATTCTCAATGCCATCGCTTTCAAAAGTGCTGAAACATTTTTTATACGAGCTGGTATCGATTTAGTCTATTTTCCTTCATATCACAGATATCGGGATGTGGGATTGATGTCAGCATATCTATTAGGAAATGTCCAAGAGTAAGAGGGAGAAGGTCTGTGGGATCACTAGAGAGGGATGTAAACGGTCGAGAATTTAAACAAGATTCAACCTGTACAAGAATCGTAAAATAGCTCTTCGTATGTTAACGTTGTCGTACCGATTACACACTTTAAGTGTTCTTTTGCCGATCGCACGGTCTTTTCCCATAAACCACCGAAATAAAGTGTGTATGATGGTATTAACTGCCACTGAATTCCTTCCGCGGTGAGGAAGCTTGTAATTGCTCTATCCGTATCACTAATGTTCCAACAGAATCTTTAGTTATCGTAGTTTATTCTGCGATCCAATGAAATTTGTGTCATTATTGGCGACATATTTCCGACATCGTTTCCAGTGCGATACGAACCTGGACAGACAGTTTAAGAAGGCATCAGTTGAGGTTTATTGCAAGTTCTATGTGAATTACCTTTATAGTGAAGCATACAAAAATATACTTGGTCGAAGAGAGGTAGTGAGGGCCATGCGCGGCTGATAGGAGCCCCCCAAATCTCAAGTCGTACGCGTCCAGCGAAAGACGTGAACCCTTGGACAGCCAACGCTTGTGACGGCCAAGCGGTGGTTGTTCCTGTTGGACCTCTTACCTGCTTCTATTACATTTTTAAATATACTGCAATGAAAAAAACGGTGCCGAGTTGACTTCGGTATTTAAACTATTTGATGTTAATGTTTTGGAAAATTAGACGAAATCAGTCGACATGTCAGCACTTTAACCGTAATATTTCGATCTTAGGCTCATTTTAAAGGTAAAGAATATGTATAGAAAATACATACTCTACAACTCTTTTCGAATATGTATAGAAAATTTTATTTATTATCGTAATAATAAATTATTAAGTGAAAAAATGCAAACATAATAATGATCACTGCTAAAGATTCAAGTGCTGATTTGACGCTGTTTTCACCCATAGAGCAATTTGAAAAAAATATCTTTGGATTGTTTGTATGATACTTTGACCTGTAAAATAAGCTTCTTAAAATGATGGAGGGATTTCGGGAACTTTCGGGAGTTTTAAAAATGTAGAGCGACGCAGGAAGATTGCCAAAAACAAAGAAATTAATATGTTATAGAAATAAATTATCTGCATTGCTCCACATTTTTTAAAGTCACATTCTGTAGACAAAGGATTAAGAAATACGGAGGTAATTTTACATTGGTGGTACCTCATCGGGAACAATTAGCAAAATGACGATAAAGATGGAGTGGACTCGCAGAACTTGTAGGCAGCGGTGTGCAACCTAAGTTTTAGTTTTTGTTAGATCGTTGGTACAGATCTGTGAGTGATAGTACATTACTTTCCGGGACAATACTCGCTATTGTATGTTGTTTTTTTTTTATTATCAAAGGGCCTAGCCGAATAAGCATGGTAAAAGTGCCTCCAAACCGAATCGATCTTGGTGCATATCATTCGATAGACCACTCGAAGAAAACCCTTTCTGCCAAGTATCAAGCTGGTACCTCTATTACTAGGGTAGTTACAGGGTGAAATGCAATTTACAGTTTAAGCTCCATTTCTCTTGTTCTGCTCGATGAAAACTTGTGAAAAAAATCACGGATGTGCTACCCAATGGCGTACATGTCTGTGAATTTTTTCAGAATTGTTCGTTGCAAAATCGATTTTTTAAACATTCGGAAATTTTATAAATGGTGCTTTTATATTGAAATTATCAAATGACCACATTTATATTTTTACAGTATTAGTGTCTTGTTATGGATATTAATGTGTAATTTTTTCAGATTTTTCGAAGTGGGGGACGACACCTAGAAAAATGAAAAACCGATGTTCGTTTATATTATTATTTTAGTTTTTCGTGTGACCATGTTCATTTTTCTACAGTTTTAGCAGCTTGTTATGGTTATTAATGTATAATTTTTTCAGGTTTTTTTGAGAGGTGTATCATACTTAAAAAAATTATAAACTGATATCCACTAATTTTTCGAACGCAAAGTGGTACACTCGTATAATCGACGTACTTTATTCATTAAATGGTCATTATATGCATTTCCAAATATTTTCACATGTTTAAGTAAGTCTCGAGATATTTTCAAAAAATGTCTTTATTGAAGAAGATGCTCAAACGCTTCATGACTATGTAGTAAAACACCGTTTCGATATTGCTGTCATAACAGAAACTGATTTGTACGAGTAAGCATTTCATCATTCAGTAGCAATTTACGTATCGTAACTGGAGTACGAAAGCTAAGAATTTGAAAAATTGTGATTGTATTTCACTGAATAAAAGAAAATGTATTGAAAATATCTCGAGAATTAATAATTTTTTTGCCATGGTACCCTAATAATTTTTTAGGTAGAATGAACAGAGGAATCGATCTGTGCAACAAAAAATTGGCATTTCCATTTAAAGAAATGATGCAATTGTTAATTGCACATGCACTGTTGCACTTCAAAAAAATCTAAGGGCCTACAAATGTAGTGCTCTTCGAGCTATTTACCTTTCTCCTTTGGAATTTTTTCGTAAATGCATTAATAACGGAGTTCAAAAAAATCTAAGGGCCTACAAATGTATTGCTCTTCGAGCTATTTACCTTTCTCCTTTGGAATTTTTTCGTAAATGCATTAATAACGGAGTTATGACCTGAAACAATTGCGTGGACCACCCTGTATACATAATTTGTAACATATATTGCTTTTGGTCAGCTTATTTTCATTTCATATCATATAGTAAACATGTTATTGATGTATATTCAAGTGTTACATCTTAAAAGTCATCCACAGGTTTGACAATAAATCCTGAAATAAAAGTGCTAGCCCATATTTACTTCCTACACTTTCAGGTTTGTTCGAAACTTTATCTACAATAATCTCGGTAGTCATAGTAACCTTACGGTAGTAATAATATTTTTAAAAATTTCATTATCTATGCGACGTCTTCTGTTCTTTCCCCCACTTTCCCCGCGGGCCAGGCGACGTTTGACGAGGGCCGATCATATGAGTTCACCGACCCGGCCGTAACATCAGCTGTTTCGGATTGCCTGGAAATGTCAGGATCGACACACTGACCCAGTTCCGTCGAAGCAGATTAATTCGTGGACGAATGGGTAAGTTTTTCATAAGTAATAAAACACTTTATTCCTTTCGGATAACGAATAAAAGTATCGAACACAGTTATTAAACGACTTATTTGTTATTCATGAAAAAAAAAAAATACGTTTTGTAAATCTATGTCAATTATACACACGCTGAAAATTTCATCGAAATCGGTGGATAGAGAAACAAGCGACAGGCATCGAAAGATGTAAGAATTTGCAGATTTATTACAGTTTTACGCCGAAAGTCGTGATAGTGCGATTTTCACAATATTTAACCGTTTGTAGCTCATAGCAACATTAACCGATTTCGATGAAATTTTCAGCGTGTGTATA